AGGCTCCCAAGAGCGCCCCAAGAGCGCCCAAAGAGGGCCCCAAGAGGCCCCAAGAGGCGCCCAAGAGGCCTCCAAGAGGCTCCCAAGAGACCCCCCAAAGGCCCCAAGAGGCTCCCCGAGATACGCAAGAGGCCTCGGGGACCGCCAAGAGGCCCCAAAGACGGCCCAAGAGGCCCCCAAGCTCGCCATTGTCCTCCTCCTCCTCCTCCTCATTTTCTTCCTCCTCCCTCCTCCCCCTCCCTCTCCTCCTCCTCCTCATCCTCCTCCTTCTCCTTCTCCCTCTTCTCGTCCTCCAGGTCCTCGCCCTCCTCTATCTCCTCCTCCTCCTCATCTTCCTCCTCCTCTCCTCCTCCTCCTCCTCCTCCCCCTCCTCCTCCTGCTCCTCCTCCTGCTCCTCCTCTTCCTCCTCCTACTCCGACGACGACGACTCCTCCTACATCCTCCCCCTCTTGGGGTATATGGCGGCTTACCCCGCCCTTTGTTCTTCTGCATGCTCCCCCGCTTCCCTCATCACCTCCACTCCCCTGGGACTCATTTCTGGACGGGCTGGTGGGGATACGCGAAGCGTTTAGAATGTTATAAGGAGAAGGAATGGAGGAGGAGGAGGAGGAGGAGGAGGAGGAGGAGGAGGAGGAAGAGGAGGAGGAAGAGGAGGAGGACGAGAAGGAAGCTTTCTGGGAAACTGGTCTCCGGGAGATTGGTGCTTTACGATTCGTCCCCGACGCGCCCAAGTGGACGACGCCGACACAGCGGCATAATCCAGCGCAGACGCTGCGCCCCGCGCCCGAGCAGACAACGCTGGCACCGCGGCAAGCCGCACGGCGAACCTCGCGTGCGAGGCGGCGTTTGCCCTGGTGGCTGCGACGCCCTCCCCAAGACGTGAGGCCGCGCGTCGGAACAAACGGCTCGGAAGGTCGGAAAGGGGTGTGGCAGAAAGGGGTGCGGTGCCAATGCTGAATCTGGCGCTGCTACCGGTCGCAGATCACATCTCAATTTTTCCACGATTGGCACCACACCCCTTTATGCCGCACCCCTCTTCCGATCTCCAGAACAGCGCGGCGCCATTTGCGGTAGCGGTCGATGCCCCAGGGTTCGGGGGGTGGGGGCCCCGGGCCGCAGGAACGCTTGGGCGGGGCGGGGCTCGTCGCTGGCGGGGGTGCGCTGCGATCGCAATCGTACGCGCGCGAGCACCAACATGCGTGGGGAGTCCAACGCCCACCCCCCCCTGCCCCACGCTCGGTCGTTACCGCTAACCGGGGGCGGGCCCTGGTAACGACGGCTACGCGCCAAGAAACAAGAATCTCGAGGGGTCCTCACTGGGCCCCGGAACCCTCGACAGAATGCTGGGGATGACAAGCTTGTCCCTGGGGAGGGGTCGAGACCCTTGGGAGGGCCACGCTGTGAACAAAAGCGCGACGTCGGATGTCTGGGGTCATTCGTCGTCCCGACGCCGCACGACCGAGATACTTCCGGGACCAGTTCAGGTCGCTCGATACCCTGGCACCTTGAACGAGAAGGATGTACACTGGTGTGGGTGGCCTGGGATGCGTTCAAGGAGCCCCCGAGCATCTGACGGCCCTCGTCCATAGAGCCCAAACGGGAGACAGGGAAGCCCATAATTCGCAGATCGCACCAGTTCCCTGATTGTTTTCGCGAGCGGCGAACATATTCACATATGAAGGGGCCCTGGGACACACAAATAAATACACACAAATAAAAGGATTCTCCATATTTCCCCATATGTTCTGGGTTTTTGTCTTCCCCCCAACCCCCCATAGTTTCCCATATTTTCCGGGGAATCGACGATTCATTGTGTCTGTGTGTTTCTTTCCCTCCTGACTCGCATCCGTTTCCTGATTGTTCTGTCGCGAGCGGCGAACACATTCACATACAAACCCTCGGGGGGTGGACTTCGGGGCGCGGCCCCGTGGATGCGCGGCCACGTGGGCACGCTCGCGTGGGACCGCCGCAAAACAAAAAAAAACACGCTCCGCAGAGGGGGGTCGCGACCCGAGGGCCTGGTCCACGAGGTCCTGAATGAGGATAGGCTTCCTGCCCATGGTCCTTGCTCCTCTGAGCTCGACGATTGTCAAGAGGCCCAAGGACACACAAATAAATACACACACAAATATAATGATTCCCCATGTTTCCCCATATTTTCGTTTTTTTGTCTTCCCGCCCAACTCCCATATTTTCCCATATTTTTGGGGGATCTACGATTAATTGTGTCTGTGTGTTTTTCCCCTCCTGAGATTGACAGAACACACTTTAGCACAACGCCCTTGAACGAAATCTGCCAGGTGCACACCACGTGCGCACGGCACCGCATTCCGGGTGCGCCCAGCCGAGCGTGCCCGGCGAAACCGCCTGGGGCTGCGCTGGCACGCTCGAGTGCCAATGCGTAGAGAAAAGCAAGGCACATTCCCTCAGTCGACTCAAATGGGTGGGCGTTCCCTCACTGCCCTTAAGTCGGGCATGTCCCCCTACAGGCGGATTTTGGGCGAAAACTGAAACATCAGAGACTCATCAAAAATGATCACACATGGTGGAAAAATCATCCTCATACGACTTTCTGACTATTTTTGAACATTCCTCCTGTGCAGGGGCATGCGGGCGTGCCCGACTTACCACTGCCCGATGAATGCCTTCTGCCCAAGATAGAATCCTCAGCTGCAGTCCGCGACCGCGGCCCCGCAGGGCACGCATGGAAGGCCAGGCTCCGCCCGCCCGCCCGCACCGAAGGCCTCGCCTCGAGAGGGGCCGCTGACGGTACTGAGCTAATCGGCGGCGCGCTGGATCCGAGCTGTGGCCGTGGCTGCGGCAGGGCTGCTGCGGAGCGAACCGAACACTTCATGGCAAAACTGGTTGCGTCGGCGGCTGGGCAGAGGAACTGCGCTGGCGGCAGAGCAGTCACAACGGGGATGCCGTCGAAGCGAATTGCGCCACCGTGCAGAAAAATAGTCATGGAAAAACCAAGAACGGCATGAACTTAAACTTTTGGCGCTCCGCGCGAATCTCTCGGATCTGCGATGGACCCCCCCCCCTGGCGCGCGGAGCGCGCCAGGGGCGGCGCCGGAGGCGCCGCCGGGGGGGCCTGGCACGGATCCAAGATATCCGCGCGGAGCGCCGAAAAGTTTTTGTTTATGGCGTTTTTTCTTCTTGGAACCACGTAAGCTTAGGTCGGGCATGCCCTCCTAAGGTCCTACAGGCGGATCTTGGAGGAAAAAAACACAGAGTCCCAAAAAAAGAATAGCCCAAAATAGTTAAAACACATCGTCCCCACACGAGGTTTGTTGACTAGTTCTGAGCATCCCTCCGGTAGAGGGACACGCCCTACTTACAACGAAGGCGACGAGGACGGCCGGGAGGGATGCGGGGAGCGGGCATGCCGCGGACTCCGAACGTGACGCGCCCGGGACGCGCCGGGGGCAGGCTCGGGCCCCCTCTTGAGGCTGTCGGTGCGTCCGCCAGGGGCCGGCGGCACGCGGCCACGCCCAGAAGCCCGGAGGAGGCAGCCGGGAGACGAAGGCAACACGGCAACACCTTCGGATCAGGACGTAGCCCAGGAAGCGCCGTGAGCTGGCGGGGGGAAACGGGGGAGGCGTCGTGGCCCCTCGTCGGCGTCGTCGGCGTCGTCGGCATCGGCATCGGCGTGCGGGCCGCCGCTCGGGTCTCCGGCGGCCTCTCGGGACGACCTATAGGGGCACCCGCGGGACGCCTTCTGCGAGCTGCAGCTGCAGGAGGGCATGCCGAGGCTGGCAAGCCGCCGACGGCCGGCGGCTATGCAAAAGATGCACGGTCGGGAGCGGATGCGTCGCGTGTCGTGGCGGCGGCCCCGGCGGCACGCTGTGTGCTGCGAGCTGCTACCGTGCCGCTCCGCTCTGCGGGGCGGGAGGCTCGGGAAAGCTCGGGACACTGTCGCTGGGGTTGTGGATGCCACGACGATGGACACCCCAACAGTCCCATCATTGAACTTAAGATGTCTTTAACATGCCGGAAAATGTTCTCAACATATGTTAAGCATGTTTTTTCTCACATGCGTAAAACATATTAACACATGTTTTAGACATCTGGGAATTATTTGGCAACATGCTTCCTCTCCATCGATCGTCCTCCCCAACGCTTGGGAACTGGGGGGTGGTGGGCGAGTCGCGCCGAGGAGGGGTTGGCCAGGGCTGGCGGCGCAGCACGCCAAGCTCAAGCTTTTGACCGCATCGTCGCCCCTCGTCGGCGTCGTCGGCGGCGCCGTCGTCGTTGGCGCCGCCGTCGTTGTCGTCGCTGGCGCCGCCGTCGTTGTCGTCGTTGGCGCTCGTCAACACCGTCGGCTCCGTCGTTGGCGGTCGTCGTCGGCGTGGTCGTCGTCGCGTCGTCGACGCCGGCGACGTCGGGAGGCAGCGGCGGCGCCCGCGGCGGCGGCAGCGCGACGGGAGGGCTCCGCGGCGGCCGCCCCGTCCGCAGGGCTCCCGCTACCTCCGCGGCGGCGGCGTGCGCGGGCCGCCGCGGTCGTCGCTGGCTCGTCGCTGGCTCGTCGTCGTCGTCGTCGTCGTCGTCGTCGTCGTCGTCGTCGTCGTCGTCGTCGTCGTCGTCGTCGTCGTCCGCGCGCGCGGGGGCGCGAAGAGGAGGAATCAGGAGGGAATAGGAGGGAGGCGTGAGGAGGCGAACCCCAAGAACTTGTGCTTATGCTGCTTTGTTCGAGGGGGAGCTCGTTTGTCTCTTTTGGGGGGGCTTCTGGGCGCCTCCGGCAACCTCTGGGGGGTCAGGACTGGGTGTGGAGCTGAAACTTGCCAGGAAGAGGAGGTGAATGGAGCAGGGGAGGCGGAAGAGGATGTGGTGGAGAGCAGGAGGGGACGGAAGACGGAGAAGGAGGAGGATGAGGAGGATGAGGAATAGCGATAGCTTTCAACATACCATAGGCGCTTGACCCCCTCTGCGGGATGGAAGCGAGTGGCCAGGCGAGCGGGGTCCACACGAAGAGGCTGAAGAGAGCGGGCGCAGCCATCTCAGGACTCCTCCGGGTCCGCCTCCCTGGGCTCCTCCTCCTCGCTCTCCTCGTCGGTGTACTCGTAGCTGTACTCCGACACTTCGCCCCCTGCTGCAGCCGCAGCCGCAGGCGCTGCCACCGGCGCGGCCTTGGCCACCTGGCCGGTCTGGATACCAAAGCGGGAAATCGGATCGAACCGGAACCTGCGCCAGATCGGAATCGGACCGCATCGGCACGGAGTCGAAACCGAACCCGGTCGGCCGGGCACGGGGCTGCACCGGATCGTCAGCGTGTCTCGGAGGAGGGCGTTGTTGGCACAACGGCGGACTCTCGCGCGTCCGGCCAGCTCCGCAAGCATCTGTCCCTGAATCCCTCGCGAGGGTCCGTCCCGAGCCGCTTTCGAGGCGGGCCCAGCCATGGCGACGAGGAGCCTCCAGGAGGCCCGGAAGGGACGAGACGCGCCAGGGAGGCCCGCCATTGTGGCGACTGGCCCTCCTCAGGGCGGCACCTAAGTCGAAGCGGACCGGGCCGGCCAAGCACGACATCGAATCGGACAGATAGGTTTGAAGCTTAGCTGCCCCGACACGCAACACGCAACAGGGCTGAACCTAAACGGACGGTGTTTCTCGTTTTCGTTTTGTTCTCGTTTTCCCCCGTTTTGCCTTCAATCCGCCTTTAACGCATTATTCACTGCGTGGGGATCCCCATATGTGCATATCCTTGCTGGCGCTCCCTTGGTGGTGGGACTCGGTGAGGACGAATCTGGATTTAAGTGTGACTGAGCTGCCTCTCTCTCTGCTCTCTCTGCTCTCTCTGTCTCTCTCTCTCTCTCTGCCCTCTCTCTGTCTCTGCCTCTCTTTCCCTGCCTCTCTCTCTCTCTCTGCCTCTCTCTCTGCCTCTGTCTCTCTGCCTCTCTCTCTCTCTCTGCCTCTCTCTCTGTGCCTCTCTCTCTCTGCCTCTTTCTCTCTCTCTCTCTCTCTCTCTCTCTCCTCTCCCTCTCTCTCGTTTCCTCTCTCTCTCTCTCTCTCTTGCTCTCTCTCTCTCTCTCTCTCTCTCTCTCTCTCTCTTTCTCTCTCTCTCTCTCTCTCTCTCGTCACGGGCTCGTGAGATCAGCCAGGGTGGCTCCCCCTTGGGGCTCCCAAATGATGCCCCTGGCAGCGTTTTGTGACCATGAGGCTCTCAAGAGATACATGTTGGGGAAGCCAAACGGCAATTCTAGCTGAGACGTCCCACCAAAATCGGCGCGAACGGGCTCGTGAGATCAGCCAGGGTGGCTCCCCCTTGGGGCTCCCAAATGATGCCCCTGGCAGCGTTTTGTGACCATGAGGCTCTCAAGAGATACATGTTGGGGGCGCCAAACGGCAATTCTAGCTGAGACGTCCCACCAAAATCGGCGCGAACGGGCTCGTGAGATCAGCCAGGGTGGCTCCCCCTTGGGGCTCCCAAATGATGCCCCTGGCAGCGTTTTGTGACCATGAGGCTCTCAAGAGATACATGTTGGGGCGCCAAACGGCAATTCTAGCTGAGACGTCCCACCAAAATCGGCGCGAACGGGCTCGTGAGATCAGCCAGGGTGGCTCCCCCTTGGGGCTCCCAAATGATGCCCCTGGCAGCGTTTTGTGACCATGAGGCTCTCAAGAGATACATGTTGGGGGCGCCAAACGGCAATTCTAGCTGAGACGTCCCACCAAAATCGGCGCGAACGGGCTCGTGAGATCAGCCAGGGTGGCTCCCCCTTGGGGCTCCCAAATGATGCCCCTGGCAGCGTTTTGTGACCATGAGGCTCTCAAGAGATACATGTTGGGGCGCCAAACGGCAATTCTAGCTGAGACGTCCCACCAAAATCGGCGCGAACGGGCTCGTGAGATCAGCCAGGGTGGCTCCCCCTTGGGGCTCCCAAATGATGCCCCTGGCAGCGTTTTGTGACCATGAGGCTCTCAAGAGATACATGTTGGGGCGCCAAACGGCAATTCTAGCTGAGACGTCCCACCAAAATCGGCGCGAACGGGCTCGTGAGAACAGCCAGGGTGGCTCCCCCTTGGGGCTCCCAAATGATGCCCCTGGCAGCGTTTTGTGACCATGAGGCTCTCAAGAGATACATGTTGGGGCGCCAAACGGCAATTCTAGCTGAGACGTCCCACCAAAATCGGCGCGAACGGGCTCGTGAGATCAGCCAGGGTGGCTCCCCCTTGGGGCTCCCAAATGATGCCCCTGGCAGCGTTTTGTGACCATGAGGCTCTCAAGAGATACATGTTGGGGGCGCCAAACGGCAATTCTAGCTGAGACGTCCCACCAAAATCGGCGCGAACGGGCTCGTGAGATCAGCCAGGGTGGCTCCCCCTTGGGGCTCCCAAATGATGCCCCTGGCAGCGTTTTGTGATCATGAGAGAGTGCGAGTGTGAGCTTAACTTATCTTATCTTATCTTGAAATCTCTTATTATCATATCTTGTGCTATCTTATCTTATCTTGTAGTATCTTATCTTGTCTTGTCTTATCTGGTGATTATCATTGGGAGGAGGGAGGCGCGAGCGGGAGGAAGAAGGAGGAGGAGGAGTGGGAGGCGTCAGAGTAATAACAAGAACCCCAATCCTTAGGATATGGGGAAAAACGAGCTCGAAACGAAAACGGCCCACGAAATCGCCAAAACACCACTTAGGTCCAGCCCTGCAACACATAATTAGCGCATCGATGCGGAACTCAGCACGCAGACTGAACAAGCGTACCTCCGGCGCGACTCGCTCGCTGATACGTGGGCCAGCACCCGCAAGGCTGAGCCAACGTGCGCAATATCGACACGGACCCTCTGAGCACTGCACGTGCTGCGCATCAAGACGGGCGTGTCGGGCGTGTCGGGGCGGCTGCGGGTCGGTCGGACGCGTCCTCTTGCAGGCGGATTTATGACGATTGTTTTTAAAAAAAATCCGACAATTATGTGTTTTGCTTTGAGAAAAAAGGAAACTAAAAAAAAAGGAAATCGTCCCCTGACTATGTTTTTGGACCATGTTCGAATGATTCCGGATCCCCTGCAGGGGGACACGCCCGACCCAAAGCTAAAGAAAAACTAAAACAATAGTGAATCGTCCCCTGACTATTTTTTGACCATATTTGGAATATTCCGAATCCCCTGTAGGGGGACACGCCCGACTCAAAGCTAAAACAAAAAAACAAGACGAAAAAAACAAAACTAGACAAAAAGAAAGTAAATCGGCCCCTGACTATTTTTCACGATTCCGGACTTATTCCGCATCCCATGCAGGGGGGCACGCCCGACTTACAGCTAGGAGTGGGGCCCTGGCCTTGGGCGCCGCGGCCGACTTCGCCGCCCTCGCGCCCTTGATGACGGGCCCGGGCGCCGCGGTGGCAGCCTCTGCTGCAGCGCGCGCCGCCGCCGCCGCCGTCGCCGTCGTCGTTCGTCGTCGTCGCCGTTCGTCGTCGTCGTCGTCGTCGTCGTCGTCGTCGTCGTCGTCGTCGTCGTCGTCGTCGTCGTCGTCATTCTCCTCCTCCTCCTCCTCCTCCTCCTCCTCCTCCTCCTCCTCGGCCACGATGCGGCTCTCGAGCCATAACTCTGGCCTCCGGCGACCGTTCGGGACGATCCTGGCACCTCTGGAACGCTCTGGCCGAGGCCCCAAGTGCTGAAAGGAATCCCGAGGCCGGAAGACCGCCGAGAGCCGACGAAAACGTCCGCGAACGCTCATCGAGTCTGTCCCCCCCTGAGCCCCCACGCCTGCCCCCTGCAACTTTGCCCCTGATGGCTCCGTCGCTGCTTAGTCCTCGGCCTCCGCTCGCGGGAGCGGCTCGGTCTCGGACCTCGAGCCTCGAAAACGCAGCACAACCTGGAGCCTCGAACGCCTAGTCTTAGGTCGGACGTGTCCCCCTGCAGGCGGATTTTGGACGAAACATGAGAAATACTTTTCAAAGGTTCAGAAAACAATAAAAAATAGTCTAAAACAAATCGTCCCCATATTATTTTCAGACTACTTTGGCATATTCCTCCTGTAAGGGGACACGCCCGACTTACGCCTAGTCGTCGGCGTCGTCTTCGGCGCCGTCGGCCCCGGGTGCGGCGGCGGCCTTGACCGCGGCGGGCGTCGCGCGAGGCCGCGGGGCGGCCTTGGCCCGCGCGGCCGTGACCTGCGCCGGCGGGGCGGGCGGCGGGCCGCTGCTGCTGGTGTACTCCGAGCTGGAGTCCTTGCGGAGGCCGGGGCCGACCGCCGCAGACGGGGTGAGACCTCCGTCGTTGGAGCACGGGCCGACCGTCCCGGCATGCCTAAGAGGCCTGCCACGACATGTTCTCGGAGCCCGAAAGTGTTCTTCAAGGACAGAGGCAGTGGTCTCAGAACAGAGGTGAGACCTCCGTGGTTTGAGCATGGGCGCCCGAAGTGGGTACGGAAAAAGTGGGTATACAATGCCGGACAACACATGTTGTCCCAAGCCAACAGGGGCCGCTGTTGGGCAGACGGCCTTCTGTCTCAAATGGACACAGGCCGCGGCGGCGCGGACAGCGAGTCCTGTTCAAAATGATCAGGATCCGCTGTTGGGCATTGTGCCAATTCTTTCCGTACCCATTTCGTTCGTGCCGAGTTTGAGCATGGAGCGACCGTCCCGGCATTCCTAAGAGGCCTGCCACGACATGTTCTCAGAACCCGAAGGTGTTCTAAGGACAGGGACAAGTGTGCTCAGAACAGAGAGCCGATGTGCTGAAACAAGGCAGTCCCAGCCAGAAATGTTCTAAGACCACTTCGTGCCAACCACAATAGGTTCCCAGAACATTCTTTATGGTGGGCCGCATAGGAAAGCCAGGACGCTTCGCCACTGCTTGAGCCGTGGGGCACGAGACAGACTTGAGGGCCCCGAGGCGCCCCGGGGCGGCCGAGGGTCCCTGGCGCCAGCTGGAGGCCAGCCGAGTCGGCGGGGCACCCGTGGGCCGGCCGATCCCCCTTTTGCGACGCGCCCGCTGCATCCCCCCACAGCAGGAGGAGGAGGGGGAGGAGGGGAAGGAGGAGGAGGAGGAGGAGGAGGAGGAGGAGGCGGAGGAGGAGGAGGAGGAGGAGGAGGCGAAGGAGGAGGAGGAGGAGGAGGAGGAGGAGGAGGAGGAGGAGGAGGAGGAGGAGGAGGCCTGCCACGGCATATCCCCGAACAGCCGAGAGCGGCGTTCTCAGAGCACAGGGCCGACGTCTCGAACTTCGTGCTGCTTCGAGCGAGCCCCACCCGAGAACGCGAGGCGGGACATCCATGGAGCACTAGCACCGTCGGGGCAAGGCGGCCGCGGCATGCACAGGTCACTAGTCGAAGACGCGAGGCGGGATCCCAAAGGAAGCACCGTCACGCGTTGGGCCTGGCAGCCGCGGTATGCAGGACGTGCGAGGCGGATCGGGAGCTCCTTTCTGTGCATTTACCGGGTGTGGAAGAACAGTGTGCTCAGAGCGCAGAGCCGACGTCTTGAAACTGGAGCGGCACTTTGCACAAGCTACACCAGGTTCTTAGGGCATCTTTGGGTGGGCCGATATAGGGAAACGAACTCGATACACCGACGCTTTTCCCGACCCTGCGCTGAAATTCGCACAAGAACGCGGATTCTGGTGTATACGGGATCCTGGTGCATACATTTTCCGTTGTTCCCCTTGGAAAATGGAAGAACAGTATACACCACACCACCCCGACGTCGTCCCTGACCCTTAAAAAGTCGTGGGATTGAAAAACAACCCGCCACTGGTGATGTATATGCTCCAGTATGCGACGATAGCCAGACCGAGGCGCTGCGCAAGATCAACCAGCATCGACTCGGGATGGTCGGCGTGTTTTCCACCACCACTACCATAAGTGGGAGGGGGAGGGGGTCCTCCTCCTCCTCCTCCTCATCCTCTACCTCCTTCCCCCCTCCAACTTATGGTGGTGGTGGTGGAAAACAGGCCCATGACGGGATATCGGGTCGGACCCGAATGTGCACCGCACGCGCACAGCACCGCCACGGGAAGCCTCGGGCCAGACTGGGTCGTCGGACCCCTGCTGGGGCCCAGTCCTGCCTCGTTCGCCGCGGCGGCTCCGGCGGTGGCGACGAGAAGCTCCCCAGCGGTCTGAGGAGAACGAGGAACGCCAGGGAGGGCCGCCGTGCAGCCGGGCTGCTGAAAGAAGGAACGCTAAATTCGCCGGCCCACCCAACGGGCCAGAGGCGTGCTGAGATCTCCGGTAACTACTTAACAGTATTTCTAGTTCGCGCGCGCGCGGGGCGGCCCCTGGGGCGCCCCGGACGAAGAATACCCCGGCCGATCCCCGGCCGGGTCCCGGGCGATCCCCAGGGGGGAGGCTATTTTTCGCCACCCCTCACGAGGATCGTGGCCTCCAAGGGGGGGGGCTGCAATCGACTACCCCCCCTCCCGCCCCAAGGGCCCCCAAGAGCCCCCCAAGAGGCCCCGGGGGAGCCCAATACGCAGCCAAGGAGCCCCAAGACGCTCCCAAGAAGCCCCCAAGAAGCCCCCAAGACGGCCCCAAGAGGCCCCAAATAGCGCCCCAGGGCCGGCGGAATGAGCGAAGCGATTAAGTAAGGAACAAGCCCCTTCTTGGCCCTGTACGCGCCTCCGTGCCCCAGGAGGGCAAGAGGAACAGCACTGGAGGAACCTAAGGAACATCGAGCCCCTTCCGAACCCAAGCCGTTCCTTATTTCAGCGTCTTGACTGTGCCATAATCGACACACATCGGGCCCGCCAGGATCGGCATCGAACTGGACAGATCGGATCGAGGTGGACCCCTGGCCTTGGGCTCCACGGCTGACTTCGCCACCCTCGCCCCCTTGCGGGCAGACCAGGACGCCGCGGCGGCCCCTGTTGCATCGCGCGTCGTCGTCATCGTCGGGCTTTTGGGTCGCAACTCGGTCTCCAGTGGCCGTGCGGGACGATCTGGGCACGCCGGAAACGCTCTGGGCGAGTCGCAGCCGCTTGAAATCACCCCGAATCTAGAAAACCGCCGAGAACCAAACAAAAGCGCCCGAAAACCTCTAACCCGAACGCCCCACTGTGAGCCCATTCCCCCCAACGCTGCCCCTACTGCAAGCATCCTCCGCCATGCGAGATGGGCAAACGCTGGACGCTCCCTCTGCCCGGACAGATGCGATCGCGGTGGACCCCGGCTTCGTCGATGCTTCGTCCTCGGCCTCGTGGCATTTTGCGCCCCGCCGCCGGCTCCAGGCAGTCTGTGCTGCGCGGCAACGGAGACGGACAACGGGAACGAGAAGCAGGCAAACGCCTCCCCCGACCTCTCCTGGGGTGCGTTCTGACCTGATTTCCGAGACGAGTCCAGCAGTGGCGACGACGGCCTCCCAGAAGGCCGAGTGCGGCGAAAACGAAGGAAGGGAAGCGGTGGTATCGTTGAATTTCCTGGGCGGGCGCCAGAAAAGTGTCCTTTGGCTGGGCAGATCGGATAGAGGTAGACCCCTGGCTTCGGCGCTGCTTAGTCGTGGAGGCAGATCAGACTGGACAGGTCGCCCGGACTGGTCGTCGTCGTCGTGACCCTTTCCCAAGACCCCTTTTTCATCCTGGGTCGTTTTGTTGACGGCCCAGGGCGCGGCGAGGCCCCCCCAAAGAGGAGGAGGAGGAGGAAGAGAGGAAGAGGAGGAGGAGAAGGAGGAGGAGGAGGAGGCGGAGGAGGAGGAGGAGGAGGAGGCGGAGGAGGAGGAGGAGGAGGAGTAGGAGGAGGAGGAGCAGGAGGGGGAGGGAGGAGGGAGGGAGGCGGAGGAGGAGGAGGAGGAGGAGGGAGGAGGAGGAGGAGGAGGAGGAGGAGGAGGAGGAGGGAGGAGGAGGAGAGGAGGAGGAGGAGGAGGAGGAGGAGGAGGAGGAGGAGGAGGAGGAGGAGGAGGAGGAGGAGGAGGAGGAGGAGAGCCCCCCCCCCAACTTCTGGTGGTGGGGTGGCAGACACGCCCATCGGTCTCCGTCCTCGGCATCCGCCGGCGGCAACGGCTCGGCGGGCGGGGGGCACGGCCGCCGCCCGCCGCTTGGGCTGCGCCGTGGCCGGCCCGGGCCGGGGCGCGGCCGGCGCGGGCGCGGCCCGGGCGGGCGGCGCCTCGCCGCTGCTGGCCTCGGGGAGTGCGCGTGGCATCCTCGGGGGGGGCCTCGCCTGTCCCCTCGCGGCCCTAGCCTGAGCATTGTCTTAGGGTGGAGGGCTCAGGGTGAAGTGCATCTGGGCTCTTGCACCTCGGAGGTCCGTTCGTCTTGTGGTTTACCTTTGGCAGGTTCGAGCCTCGAAGATCCATCGAAGCGGCAGTTCAGATTTCACCCCTTGCCCTCCACCCAAAGAACATGCCCAGCTATCTTGGGCGCCCGAGTTGCTCCAAATCCCGTACAATCGTCCCCTATGTCAGGTTTTTGTATAAGGCGCCCTTTTGGAAACTGGGGGGGGGTCCGGTTAATTTGGGCACTTTCTTTGGATTCGGAGCTTAGGGGGTCCAATTCATGACGGCGCCCCGTCGAAGAGGGGGGTCCGGAATATTAGGTCGCATTTGGAGGGGGGTCCGGTTTTTTTTCGGTAGGGTCGATTAGTAAGGGACTTGGAATATCCGGGGTAACTCGCGAGCGGGCGCGGGGTATTTCGGGTTTGGATTCCCCGAGAAACGAACCCGAGCTAGCCCTGGCCCGGGTTACCCCTGATGAGTTGGGGCTCTGGACGCCCGAATCATCCAGGGCAACTCGGGCCCGGGGCAACTCGGGCTCGGATTCCAGAAAAACGAACCCGAGTTAGCCCTGAGCCGAGTTACCCCTGATGATTCGGGGCTCTGACTATCCTTGAGTCGGGGTCGGGCATGTCAAAAACCCCCATATGGTCAAACATTGTGAAACAATCGTCCCCGTACTAATCTTTAATAATTTTGAAGCATCTCTCCTGTAGAGGGACAGGCCCGAATTAACCCTATCCGCGCCGAATCCGCGTCGAATCCATGTCGGCCTCGTCGGCTCCGTGTCGAATCTGCGTCGAGTCCGTGCCGAGCCCGCACCAAATCCGCGTCGAGTCCGCATCGAGCCCGCGTCGGGCACAAGAAAAGACACCGAAGAGAGAGGCCCCCAAGGCTGGCCCAAGGGTCGTGTGTTACGCGGACCTTTAAGCGGGCCCAGGGCCGTGTTCTTGCCGGCTCCGTTTGGCTATTTTTGCTGCAGGTTGCGACGCCGTTGTGTTGCCGGTTCCGTCGCCGTGTCTGCTTCTTGTTCCGGCTCTGGCTCCAATCCCAGAACCGTCTTTGTTGCCATTTCGGGTCGCCGTGTTTTTGCCGCTTCCATGTTCAAAAGACACTTGTTCGGAAACAATGAAAAACCGGCCCTGCCGTTTCTGGGGACCTGCCGTTTCCAAGGCCCACTAAGTCTCCTCGAATCTTGGAAAAAACGGTGGGACATGTTTCAATATTTTCGGGCCCTGGGGGCCCTTGCTGAGCCTCGGGACCGTCAAAAAACGGCTCGGGATGAAAACTGATCCCGGGCAAGGGGTCCAGACCTCTGGGGGTCGACGTCATAAAACAAAAACCACTACATCGAGGGTCTGGGCTTCTGGGGATCAAGGCAGATAACTGAAGGGCTCATGAATCGAGGTAGTCAAGGCAGAGGTCCGTTTTTAGGGGAATTTGGAGCAGCTCGTGGCCGCTCCAGCGCGAGTCGAGGGACAGCAGAACTCGTTAAGCCTTGAACGAGAGAGCCACGGACGTGCTCTGGCGTCGTAAAAAAAACGGCGTGCGGTTCGGGGCCAATTTCGGCCTCTGGGTGGCCTCGCCGGGCCTCGGGGTCGAAAAAAGGGCGCTGGGTGAAAAACAGGCCGTAGGGAGAGGGTCGAGACTCCCATGGGCCCCGTATGGGAACAAATCAGGACAACGCATGTCTGGGGAGAGAGAAAAGTACACAGAAGCACTGTTTCCCAACGTCGAGTCGGCAAACTGGATCGAATCGGAACGTAAGTCGGAGCGGACCGCATCGAAATTGAGCATGAGTCGAATCGGATCGGCCGCTCCAGGACGCGCAACAGCGCTGTGCAAGCGTCGGGCCGAATC